TGTTCTCTACATCTGTGTCTCAATTTCTGCCCTGCAAACCGGTTCATCTGTACCATTTTTCTAGGTTCCACATATATGCGTTAATAGACGATATTTGTTTTTCTCTTCCTGACTTACTTCACTCTGTATGACAGTCTCTAGATCCATCCACGTCTCTACAAATGACCCAATTTGTTCCTTTTTATGGCTGAGTAATATTCCATTGTATATATGTACCACATCTTCTTTATCCATTCGTCTGTTGATGGGCATTTAGGTTGCTTCCATGACCTGGCTATTGTAAATAGTGCTGCAATGAACATTGGGGTGCATGTGTCTTTTTGAATTATGGTTTTCTCTTAGCTTTGATTCTGCTGGGAATCCTCACGCCCACTGAGGACTTACTCCCCAGGACCTTTCTCATCATGTCTCCAGTGGCTTTCACCATGTTTTGCTTGTTTGTTTGTATGAAGATCCTCAGTAAGATATCGTTTTACATCACAAACCAGTTCACACATACACAAAACTGAAATAAAAGTTTGAGAAACAATATTCACCTTTATTCTATGTAAATTGCACTCTGATATTTTCTATGTTTTTATTTTTTTAAAGCTGGTCTCGGGACTTCCCTGGTGGTCCAGTGGGTAAAACTCCACGCTCCCAATGCACGGGGCCCAGGTTTGATCCCTGTTCGGGAACTAGATCCTGCATGCATGCCGCAACTAAGAGTTTGCGCGCCGCAACTAAAGATGCTGCCTGCCACAACTAAAGATCCCATGAGCCGCGACGAAGATCCCGTGTGCTGCAACTAAGGCCTGGCACAGCCAAAATAAATATAAATAAATAATAAATAAAGAAATAAATACTAAAAAAAAATAAATCTGGTCACAGCTACTAAAGTGATTTCACAACTACTCACTAATGGTTCTGAACCCACCACCATCCCCTCTTCCTTCCCCTCCTAGCTCAGCTTCTCTGAGACTTCTCTCTCTGACACCCCCCTCCACCTTTCCTCCCTTTTCCATCCTCAGTGGCTGAGGGAGAACCTCTCCCTCCTCCTTGCCAGCAGTCTGAGGAGCCCCTACCACGGGTTTATTTCATGGAAGGGCCCCCAGGGACAGCATTGTTGGGAAGGTAGCGTCTGCAGGATGTTGTCCTTGCCTAGAATGACCAGCAGAGGGCAGAACGCCAGGACCTCCAGGGAAGCCGGGTCTGTGCCTAGCCTGGCCCCTCCATTATGCTAGATTCCCAGGGCTGTCCATTCATTATCTTTGGTTTATTCATTTGTACATGACATAGTGTATATTCAATACACAATGCCTGGCGCATAGTAAGCCTATAAAGAGGAATCACTCAGTCATTCCACACCCATTTGTTGAGCACCTACTATGTTCTAGGCGCTGGAAATACAAAAATCAAAGATTTGTCCCCCGGCCTCAAGGAGCTTGAAACTTGACTAATAAATGGAAGACTAAAGGAGAGTTTAAAATGAAAGGTTATAGGCTCAGGAGTACATGTAGACACCAAAGGTAAGTGAAGCCCAGCTAGGTAAGGTTAAAAAAAAGAAATCCAGACCAAAGCTCAGAACAGCATGAAGCGCTGTTGTAAAAAGAGGGAAAATGCGCTTGTGTAAAAATGTAAAAAGCGCTTGTGTAAAAAGAGGGAGAATGTTTATATGTGTTGACTCGTATCTGCATAAAACATCTCTGAGAGCTCATGTGAGAAACAGTTAATGTCGGTTTCTCCAGGGAGGAATATAGGAGAAGAGGAGGGAGGCACTGTTCATGGTATGCCATTTTACACTTCTTTCTTAAATTCTGAACTACCTAATTTTGAATGACCTATTCATTCAGTCATAAAGGAGAGAATCTGGGAAAGCTTTCCTAGAAGGGATGCTTCAGCCTAGTTGTGACCCTACATGAATTAGCTGGATACAGAAGGTGTCTCAAGCCCAGCACGAGCTGGTGGAGGAATTAAGAAAAGCTCCACTGATGGAGCCCTGGGGGCAGGTGGGGTGAGCAGTGGGGAGAGCTCAGGCCTCAGGGGTAAGCAGGGGTAAGCAGGACCCTTACCCATGGTGTGGGAAGGACCTCGGTGCTCAACCCACAAGTCTTGACTTGGTCTTACAGGAGGTAAGCAAGGGAGCCACAGAGAAACACTGCAGCCAAGCGTTGGGGGTGGGAGTAGAGGGGCCAGATGAGGGGAGCTCAGTGGGAGGCTGTTGGAACAAAGGGATAGACTAGATGAATGTGTGAGCAGGGTAGAAGATAGAGTCTTGAGGAATTTGCATCTGATCAGATGGCATGGGGCAGTGGGCAGAGTCCTCGTCTCTTCTTGGCCTTTTTCTCCTTTCCTGGCCCCACTGGTTTGTTTCCTCAGCTCCGATGCTGCAGGTGATGTCACCCTCTTCACCCATTTCCGTGGTCTGGTAGAGAAAAGTCAGAGCGGCCAGGGGGACATGGAGACACTACTGCAGATAAGGTAAGGGGTCCCTGGAGAAAGAGAACCAGGCATGACTTTCTTGACATAAGAGAGGCCATTTTTGGCCTAAGCCATTTGGTGATGTAAGCCTGGCCACAATGCTTGCCCTTGAACAGGTCTCAGTAATTAAAGATTTTAAGGGAACAAAAGAATGCAAAAGCAAACAACTGTTATCAGGCGAGAGAAGTTATTGTACTATATCAGAGATAATATATCAGTTGCAAAGACTCCCAGTTTTGCCTCACTGGTAAAGATTAGCCTGAAGCACTCAACCACCAGATCAGCTGGAACCTAAGGGCTAATGATGTGGACCTTTTCTGACCCTCATGACTTCAGTCAACTCAAGCTTGGACTCCTGTGGACCCTTCATGAATATGCACGTATCCTTAGCTTAAAACTTTCCCAATGTTATTGTTTTGGGAAAGATCCCTGGTGTTCTCCTTACTTGTTGTAAGTAATAAATCCTTCTCCCGCTCTTTGGCTTGGTTGTGTCTTTTAGCTTGAAACCCACCAGGAGGCAGACTGGGTTTTTCAGGTAACAAAGGTGAGCAGAAGAAACCACTGCTCTACCTGGAGCCCTGATAAGGGTTCAGAGTCCTGAGGAATGAAGGTGGGAGTCCACCCCTGGACCAAGAGCTCCAACCAAGAAGGAAGCCATAGCCCATGACCTACACCCATGTGACTGTAGCCCCCCATCTGTTTTTCCTTTCTCACTGATGGAGCCGTATGAAATATTAACACTTCCCCATTAAAAAAAAAAAAAGTATTATATTTAAATGTTTCCTCTTCTTTTCCTGCTCTTAAGCAGAGTATATTGGGGTGGCTGAATTTATTATTTATTTATTTATTATTATTTTTTTTTGCGGTACGCGGGCCTCTCACTGCTGTGGCCGCTCCCGTTGCGGAGCACAGGCTCCGGACGCGCAGGCTCAGCGGCCATGGCTCACGGGCACAGCCGCTCCGCGGCACGTGGGATCCTCCCGGACCGGGGCACGAACCCGTGTCTCCTGCATCGGCAGGCGGACCCTCAACCACTGCGCCACCAGGGAAGCCCCTGAATTTATTATTGAGGTCACAGAATGGCATAGTGGGGTTACTATGGAATTGGGAAAGGAGTGGACGGTTCCCGGGAGATCCTGGATTCTGACCAGTGGCCCATGACCTCACCTGTAGGAGCAGGACACACCGTAGGGCTGTGGCCCACTGGGGAGGGGCTGAGGGAGTTTGCAGCTCAATGTATTACGTTAGGTTTGTTTTCAGATCAATGTATTATGTTAGGTTTGTTTTCAGATACTTGCTTTCAATTCTCTCTCTCACCCCCCAAGCCAGAAACTCGTCAGCATCCTTGACCACCTCCTGTCCCTCGCCTATCTCTCAATGAGATGTCAAGATCTGAAAACTTTATTTCGCAAAGAACTCCCCCTCTAGACTTATAGCCACTGCCCTAACCCATCTCTCCCCTGAGCTCACAATCATCTCCTTAACTCCCTCTCTGCCTCCACTCTTTCTCCTTTCCATCTTGTCAAAAGCTATTCCCTTCTAAATGCAAACATTACCAACCCACTCCCAGCAGAGTCAGTGGTTTAGTATTGCAGACGAGACCCTCTGATGGTCTCCAACCCCACCTCTCTAGCAGCAGATCCTAAAACTCTAGGCCTTTCTCTTGACATTCCAACAACTGATCTGATGAGTGTTTGCATACAAACCCATGTTCTTATTTTCTTCTTCTTTTATCTATTCCTCTGTTCATACTGTCCCTTCAACCAGATTTGCCACCCATCCACCCTTCACAACTTAACCCCTTAGGACTCAGCTCCAAGTATCACCTACTTTTCGAGGTCTTTCCTGTCCTCCCTCCCAGGATGCAACGCAGCCACTCAGCTGGATTTGATAGCCCTTCTATGTGTCTCCCTCATACTTCACGCAGACCTCTCTGACATTGCACTGAACGCACTGCATCATGAACGTCTCTCTGTGGCCCCTTTAGACAGTAATCTTCTTGCTAACAAGGCCTAGGAATTAGTCTCCCCGACCTTAGCAGGATCCAGCCTCCCTTATGCTAATCAAAACCTAGCCTTCTGCGGCTTAAATACCCTCAGCAGCTTCCTATTGCAAGGAGGGTCAAAAAGAAACTTCTTACCTGAGCTCACAGCAAGATCCTTTAGACTTGAGCTCATCTTCCTCTCCAGCCCCATGTTTCACCCCTCCCAGGTCTGTCTTCACCCCCCACGCCCCCACTTGCCTGCAACAGTTCACTTTGACAGTTTACATTGCCCTGACTGTCCACCTGCTGTGTGTTCCTGCACCACCCTTGACTTTCTTTTCCCCACAGCAGCACTTACTGATTAAACTGTATCCCTGTTTCATGCCTTCTATGCTAAATTCCATGAAAATAAGAGCCATCTGAATTTAGCTCACTTTTCTATCCTAGCCCAGCATGGAACAGGCACTCAATAACATTCAATAAATCATGACATCACGACTTTACGAGCTCTTTTTGTCACCAGGCCATCTGGGGTGATCCAAATGACCAGGGGGACTTCCACAGGACCGGCCATGAGGTGGGGGGAAAGGACGCCCCCAGCTCCAGTCCTCAACCCGAAAGCTCTGAATGGGAATTCTGGCTCCTAGGCAGACAGTGGAGGGGGGAAATGGGAGGAGTAACTGTTTCCCAAGGACTGTCCCAGGTCTCAGGCAACTGCAGCCTTTTCAGACCCCACGAGTTTAGGTGTCCACTGCTGAGCCAGGGAAGCTTTCCTGGGAGTGTTTCCAAGTGGGGTCAGCAGTGACCAGGCAGGTGGTAATGGGAGAGAAGAGTTCAAAGCAGGACTGGGGAATGGATTCATGATGTACGCAGCCAGGCATCTCTACTCATTCTGTGACTAAGAGAAGGTGAACAACCACTGGTTCCCTGGGCGTCCCAGGGTACTTGATTCTGGATAAGGAGGGGGCTGAGGAGGGGCAGGCATTCAGGGTGAGGGGCTCCAGTGCCATCAGCTTATCGTACAACCGCCTTTTTCCTTGAAGGGATTCTTGTCCTCAGGGATGCCTTTGAGAAGAGGGTCGTTTCCCGCTTCGGCCTCCACGTAGTCCTTGATCTCCTTTCCTGTCTTAGAAATCTGCGGAAAGTAAAGTGTGCTTCTAGCCCCTGTCTGTGGCTCGGGATTCATGATTTGTTCAGTCCCAAGAAAGCAGGCTTCTGGGCAGGGTGGGGATAGAGGCCGGAGAGGAGAAAGATGAGAGGCACAGGCAGGTGTGATTTCCTTGACCAGAACCGCAAAGCCTGACTCTTACCCAGGGACAGGGCCGGACACACTGAGCCCTCGAGGCTCTGAAGTTATCTCTTACGCACCTTTGTGGGATCAAACCCTGGCTTCCTTCCACTTCCCATCCCATTCCAGAGGCACCTCCTGCTCTTTCTACTGTCCTGGAGAAGGCCCACCACCAGGCTGTCCATCACTTCCTCCTTCGTGTCCCGGCTCCATGAGGACCAGAAGGGGATGGAGAAGAGGAAGCAGGGAAGGGAATAGGAGGCTCACCGGAGCTCTTGGGTTCTTCACTTCCTTCTTCAGCTGCTCCACCTCCATCTTTAAAAGCTCCTTCTCACTGAGCTCCTGGGCCATCCTGCCGTGGAGAGACCAGGTCCTGGAAAGGATTCCACAGCTGGGATTGCAAATCCCCTGGGCTCCCCCAGCTCCCTCCTCTGTACTCCCCACACCTCAACTTCTACCCTCTTCCCTGCTCACCGTATATTCTCATCACTCACCGTAGATTCACTGCACCCCCACCCCCGTCCCATTATGAGTCTAGCCTCCAGAGGAGAGGATGCTCCCAGCCTCATGGGGGAGGCACACCCAATCTTTGCCCTTTAGGTAAGACCTGTCTATGGAGGAAAAGGGAATCAGAGCATGGAGAAGGGAGAGAAGAGTTTCTTTCAGTGAGGCAGATTTGGGAAGCAAAGTTATTGTTCCACCTAATGACACAGGTAGAAGTTTTCAGGAAACTCCAGGTCCTGTCAGAAGAGAGAGTAGTTTAGTGACTAAGAGAAAGACTCTGGAATCTGCCAAACTCCAACTCTGATCGTGACTCTTCTGCTTCCAAGTTGTGTGGCCTTAGGCAAGTTGCTCATCCTCCTTGAGCCTTAGTTTGCCCATCTGCGAAATGGGTATAATAATGCTACCTACCTTATATGATTATCGTGAGTGCTAAGAAAATAATGCATGTAAAATATTTTAACACACTGCCTGGCACATAATGAACACAAGACATTTATCATCATCATCATCCTCATCATCACTACTACAGGGTTATCAGGAAGGCCTGCCCAGTGCCTAACCCAATAACTCTAAGGCTAGCTCCCAGCCCAGTGCAACCTTAGCCCCTCTTACCTGCCAAGAAAGAACGTGCACTTCAAGTCTTGTCCCCAACCCAGACAAGATGGAGTTTGAGCCTCCTAGCTCCTCAGCAGCTGAAAGTCTTTGGATAAAGCAGATGGTTCGGAAGCCCAAATCTCTGATGCCTAAGCTGATCATAGGCTCAAGGTTCTAAGCCCATCCAGCAGCCTGAGCCTCCAAGACTGCCACCACTGCAGGCACCCTGCCCCCTGCGTCGGCCGCCCTCCTGTAGTGACCCCTCTGGCTTACAGCCCGCTTCCCTGTTCTCACCCTCCGGCCCTGATTGCTCCCTTTCCCCGGTCTTCTCTCCCAAGCCCTCTCCTCCCCACCTCTGAGCCTGCTCTGAGGCTGTTCTTCCCAATGAGGCAATTCCTAGACCAGCTCCTAACTTCCCTCACCCGAGAAGCCTTGTGTCCCCATTTCGAGCCCCACCATTTCACCTTGCAAGGTTCTCCCAGCTCAATCTTCATTCACTGATTCGGTAAAAATGTACTCACTTAGGACGCTGTGCCTGTCAGCACTTGGGCCCATGGCCACACCTCTAACACCTGTGTCCCCACGTTTTTGCCTCCATGCCTCCCCTTGAGCCCCATGTGTGGGTCTCCCTCAGCAGTCCCCGAGCTCAGGGCCCACGTCCTGATCTCTCTCTTGGTCTCCTCCCAGGACCACCCAAGGGCTGTGCCATTTAACAGGCACTGAGCTCCTGCTCAGGCTGACGCCCGTCCAATGACAGGAAACCCTCTCAAGGAGCAGATGTTAAGGGACCGATGTGGTCAGTGAGGGATCCTCTTCTTTCTCCTGACTCTAGAATGAATGACAGACTCCCCAGTGGGAGGGGCCGGGAGGAGGCCCAGAGTCCACTCTAACTTCCCCTGCTCCAGGAGCCAAGTCCCACTCACAGCTCTGAGCACTAAGAAATTGAGATCAGGACAGGACCCCGGAGGTCATCCGGTCTGAGTCTCCTCCTGTGAATGCAGGAACTGGAGCACAGACCTCCTGAGGCAGGCTCAGGGCTCTGGCCACCGCTGCCTCCTAAGACTGACCTGTTAATCTGGAATTTAAACTTAGTGCTTCTCAAAGCCAAGTCCTTCCTGTTGTCCCATCTGAGTCCCTTGTTCTACGCTTAGTCAATTTCATCTTGTCCTGCCGCTATCAGGCACAGAGCATGTATGTACACCAGACCTTCATTGCAGGTAAACCTTCAGAGACTTGATAATGATTCTCAGGGGGCCTCTGGCTGTATCTTCCCGGTGTCCAGCATGGTTTCCCTGGCTGCTGCATCGGTTGTTTTCCACTGTCGCGGCACCACTGCCCTAGGGCCCCCAGCACAACCGGTCTCCATATCCTCTCCACCCTCCAGTCCCCTGTCTCTTGGTGACTCATCCCCGAGCTTCCCAAGGAAGCCCCCACCCTCTGCCCTTTCCTCCCCTTCCATGAGTGGAAAATCCATCTCCACCCCCAGAGCAGGCCAGCCCCCTTCCTCCTGTCTCCCATCCCAGCCCCCGCTGCAGTTTCCTCTCCAGGCCCAGGGAGCAATCACAGCCGCCCCGACCTTGGCTTCCTCTGCTGGGAGGGATTGGGGGGCTGGGCCCCTGCAAGGGGCCCCCAGCTTCCCCCTTCCCCTGGGCAGGGGACAGAGAAGCACAGGCCCAGGGAGCGGGGACTAACTTCCTCTTGTGCCGGAATGAGCATGTCTGCCCTTTGCAAGTGGGTTTGGGTCTCTCAAGCAGAGGAAACCAAAAGCAGTGAGAGGGAGGGAAGGCGGAGCGACCAATCAAGGGCAGGGTGAGGCGCAAAACCAGCGGCTCCCCGGGGAGCCAGGCAGAGGCGGGGGGCCATGGCGGAGCTGCAGCAGCTGCAGGAGTTTGAGATCCCCACGGGCCGGGAGGCCCTGCAGGGCAACTACAGCTCCCTGCTGCGAGTCGCAGACTACTGCGAGGACAACTACGTGCAGGTAAGCAGAGCAGGCGCAGCCCCAGTGGCCCAGCCCCTCCAGGGGCCCGGACCCCGTCCTGACAGGTGCTTGGCCTGGGCCTAGGCTGATCTATCCTCCCACTCCAGGGCGGCTTCATCCCAGTCCCGCAAACTCTAACGCTGACTCATGCTCTCCAAGCCCCCACTGTGCCCCTTCTCTCTCCCAGAGCCTCAGACATGCCCGGCAGGCAGCGCTACCCCGTCCTGCTACAGGCCTCATCCTAGGCTCATCTCCCTCCTAGCCTTTCACTCAGATCCAGAGGCCCAAAGACTTATCCTCACACACCTGTTGATGCCATCATTCCATGTTCAGGCTGGCTCTGGGTGAGACTTCAGAAGAACTTCCCATTGTCGTGAGCTTGAGATGGACGAGGGAAAGTTCTGCTCCTGAGATCTGAGGGAGAGCCGAGAGATGTCAGACTACGCTAGGTTAAAGAGATGGGATCTGACTCAGAGGCAGGGAGATGGACAATAAGACTGCCGGGAACAGGCTACCGGCAAAAGATAAGGATGGTGGCATTTTAGAATAGTTTTCTAAATTGTGGGGTTGTCCCAGGACTGCAAGTCTGGAGCACGGGAAACTTAACAACGGTCGAGCACCCTGTTATTTCATTAACCTTTTTTTTTTTGCGGTATGCGGGCCTCTCACTGTTGTAGCCTCTCCTGTTGCGGAGCACAGGCTCCGGACGCGCAGGCCCAGCGGCCATGGCTCACGGGCCCAGCCGCTCCGCGGCATGTGGGATCTTCCTGGACCGGGGCACGAACCCGTGTCCCCTGCATCGGCAGGCGGACTCTCAACCACTGCGCCACCAGGGAAGCCCTCATTAACCTTCTTAACCACCTTGTGAGACAGCATCATTATTCCAATTTCATAGATGAGGAAACAACAGTTCAGGGAGGTGAGGTGACTTGTCCAAGTCATACAGCTTGGCAATGGTAGAGAGGGCATCAGCCCAGGACTCCTGACTTCTGACGATGAGCCCTCTCCTCCCTGCCTTCCCCTCCCTGACATGCTGTATGACTTTAAGACAGTTATTTGCACTGGGACCTCCCAGCTCAGTAGGCGTGTGGAAAAAAATAATAATATAAGGAGCAAGTGCTTATGGGAAAATGGCAGGTTAAAGAGAGTCAATGGTAACAAAAGTTAAGCTGCTTTGCTCTGCACCCAAACTGCTTTCATTGCCTTCTTCAGTCCTCACCTCAGTCTGTGAGCTGAGGACCACTCCTACTTCACAACCAGGAGGCTGAGCTTTGGAGAATTTAACTCACTTTCCCAAGGTCTCTAAGCTAGTGGTAGAATCTGGATTCGAACCGGCAACTCTGACTCCAGAGCAGCACCCCCAAACCTCTAGTTGAAAATGTTACCCCGCGTGTAGATATTGAGTGGCTGATTGTAGCTACTGCAGATGAGCTGGAATGTGGCTTGTGAACCAGCTCTATTCTCCAAGCACTGGAAGGCATGCTCCTTCTATGGACTAGGATGGAGGCTGGCCTTCCCATTCCTTCAGTATCTTCTGCGCATCTCAAAGCACTTCCAGATGGGTTCTCGTTTGCACACAGTGTGCACACAGAATTTGAGGTCGCAAAGAGCTGAGTCCAATTTCCAACTCCTGGACCTGAGACAAGTTTCCCCTCTGATTCTTTTTTTTTTTTTTTTTGCGGTACGCGGGCCTCTCACTGTTGTGGCCTCTCCCGTTGTGGAGCACAGGCTCCGGATGCGCAGGCTCAGCGGCCATGACTCACGGGCCCAGCCGCTCCGAGGCATGTGGGATCTTCCCAGACCAGGGCACGAACCCGTGTCCCCTGCATCGGCAGGCGGACTCTCGACCACTGCGCCACCAGGGAAGCCCTCCTCTCTGATTCTTATACCCTCCTTCTCGGTGGTCATATGGGTTAAATGTAATAATGTATTAAAGCATTTAGCCCAGCGCCTCCTCCTTAAGAAGGGCAGGATAAATGGCAGCTGTTACCGTTATCACCATCATCATCATCTTTCATCAGAAGGATGGAAGACACATACAGATATTAAAAGTCAATTCTAGTGAGGTGAAGCAGCCCTTGCACAAACACTCAGGGCATCGGAAGCCCTGACCCAGGCCAGAATCTGTAGATTTATGCTTCCTTCATGCAGGACACTAACCACTAGACCACACAACCAGTTACCTTTCCTGACTTCTCTGACGATCTTTGTCTGGGGAGCAAATGCTAAGGAAGGGTTTGGATGACTTCTCAGAACTGGTCTTAAACAAAGCCTGGTTCCCACACCCTCCCTCCCTCACCCCTCCCTCCACCCCAACCAGGTGTCAGGAAACCCATGGGGAATGGGGGAGGGCAGGCTGGGGTGAACTGCAGAGTTCTCCGTCAGGGTCCATTGGATTTGTAGACAGGGTGATTTGCATGATGAATAAGCAATCAGCCATGAAGCTGGATCCCAGACCTTTGTCTCTCCAGATCTCACTTTCGATTAAGACCAAAGCCAGGGGTCAGTAGGCATCCAGGCTCTAGCCTCCCAGAGCTGGGCCCAAGCAGACATTTTTCCTGTTTGGACTGACAGGAAAAATCCAGTGATGAATTCCATATGCCAGTCCAGGGAGGGGACAGTACAGGAGAGGCCAGCTGAGACCAGAGAAGTAGTCACTGTTCCATTCTGGGCCTTCGTCCATCTCCTTGCCTACTAAAGGAAGGTCTTGGACTAGAATAAGACCTGCTATGATTTCCGGTTTGATTTCTTTGCCTTTTCAAGGCACTTGGTGACATATGTTGATGAGATGTAAATTAGATGCAAACGAGCAGCTCTTTCCCTCAGTTGGAACAGAAAGGCAGGGAGGAGCACCTGAGGGGAAAAGCATGGAGGGGGTGTGTGGGGCGGGGTGTGTGTGTGTGTGTGTGTGCTGTCCAGAAGGTTCTAGGCCTGCCCTTTGGCTCAAGCCTGGCTTGGGCTACACTGGAGGCACCCAGGTCTCTCTCAGCACCCTTCTCGGACAGTTTCTAGGTCTGTTCTCCACTGCAGGCCCAGAGGAGTACCTGAGAGCCCTTAGCAAGGAGACCTCAGCGTGCAGCCTTGCTGGTCACTCCGCTGGCCTCTCCCCAGACTTGCCATGGATTGGCCCGCTACCCTCCATGTCCCTGACCTGAGATGAGGAAGCTGTCTGGGGAAGCAAATGACCGGAGCAGCTTTGTCCCAACCCGCACAGTCCGATCTGGGACGGAAAAAAACCCCTCTTCTGTCTTCAGCCACTCCCTGCCCACCCCACCGCCACTGACTGGAAGTGTGGCCCTGGCCAGCACCTGGCACAGTGCCGGGCATGCAGCAGGAAGATGCCCAGCAAGTGTCTGGGTTTGCATTCAATCCGCTGAGTAACTCACAGACACGTATTCATTAAGTACCGTCTGTGTATTGGGCACTATTCCAGGACAGGATACAGAATATGACAGATGCGCTCCCTGCCCTCACAATGCTTACATTTGTGTGTGCGTGTGTGTGTGTGTGTGTGTGTATGTGTGTGTATAGATAATAAAGTACATAGATAAATAATTTCTGATAGTGCTAAGTGCTATGAAGAAAAGAGAACGGAGTAAATCTGATAGTGAGTCAATACAGAAGTGGGCTGGGGGAGATCTTAGGGTGGTGAGGGAAGGTGTCTCTGAAGCGCTGAGATTTAATAAGGATTCTAGAAAGAAACACAGCCAGTGCAAAGTCCTGAGGTAGAGGAACTCCCCTGGTGGCACAGTGGTTAAGAGCCCGCCTGCCAATGCAGGGGGAGATAGGTTCGATCCCTGATCCGGGAGGATCCCATATGCCACGGAGCAGCTAAGCCCGTGCGCCACAACTACTGAACCTGTGCTCTAGAGCCCACGTGCCGTGACTACTGAGGCCGTGTGCCACGACTACTGAGGCCGTGTGCCACAACTACTGACGCCTGCACACCTAGAGCCCGTGCTCCGCAACAAGAGAAGCCACCGCAACTAGAAGTCCGTGCACCGCAATGAAGAGTAGCCCCCGCTCGCTGCAACTAGAGAAAGCCCGCATGCAGCAACAAAGATCCAACGCAGCCAAAAAAAAAAAAAGGCCTAAGGTAGAAACGATCTTAGCTTGATCAGGAAGAGAGACCCAATGGCCAGTGTGGCTTGAGGGGCGTGAGTGAGGGAGAGTGGAAGGCAATGAGGGTGAGAAAGAAAGCAGGAGCCAGCCTTGTGAGGCCCTATATAGGCCACGGTTAGAAGTAGCTTTATTCTCAGTGTGTTGGGAAGCTGTTGGAGGGAATGAGTGATTGAAATCACCCTTCCTGGGCCTCAGTTTCTTATCTATAAAATGGATCAGATTATCGCTTCCCAAACACCAGCTTGAAGACTGGAGATAAACCAGGAGCACAGGAGTCGCCTGAGGAACTTTTAGAGGTACAGATTCATTGGTCTCGCGCCCAGGGGATTCTGGTTAGAAGGTCTGGGATGGGGGCATGAGGTTGGCTGTTTGGTTTTCAAGTCTGAGAATATCTCTTCCAGCCAGTATTGACTTCCTCTTTCCTTTCTACCATTCACCCTTTAGCTCCCGCCCCCACCCGCCTCAAAAAATATCTTCAGGAGGATGGTGGAGCCAATCCTGTGTGACTATTTGAGCAGGGTGCCTTTTCCTTCCCTTGCACCCAGTCCTCAGGGCTGCAGATTCGCTCTCCTGATGTCCCCTGAGTCCTTCTTACCACATCATTTTTACAGAAACCTCCTCAAACAGCTGAGGGTTGCCACTTCCTCCCAACTCAGCCCCCACATTTCCTATACCCCATCCCAGCCCAGCCCACCCAGCCGCGGCCCCAGTGGAATATGCTGGCCTCAGGCCAGGGCTGTGTGTATTTCAGGCCACAGACAAACGGAAGGCGCTGGAGGAGACCATGGCCTTCACCACCCAGGCCCTGGCCAGTGTGGCCTACCAGGTGGGCAACCTGGCTGGACACACTCTGCGTATGTTGGACCTTCAGGCGTCCGCCCTGAGGCAGGTGGAAGCCCGTGTGAGCACGCTGGGCCAGGTAAGGGCTGTGGGAAGGCTGCTCGCCTCAGACCCCAACTCTTCAGCCCCACCTGGACATCTTCTGCAGCAAAATTTCTTTCTTGCCTCCCTCCATGTCCAAATGCCCACCTGTATCACAGAAGGCTGGCACTCCCCAAACTTTTTGAGCCTTCTAGTCTTTGTGGCTGTGTCTCGGGGGTGAGCCTTGCTGCCCCACCGGACCAGGAACTCCCCGATGGCAGAACTTTATCTTTCTCTGAATTCTATCCTACATGGTAGAAAGCAGGCTCTCCCTATCACGGTGGCTGCATAGGACAGGAAAGAGGAAAATGGACCCTGTTTCCATATAAACACGGGTGGTGATTTTATACATATCCCAGACTCAGAGTGCTTGCTTGGCAAGGTCATCCTCAGCCCTGGAAGCACTGCCACCACCACACAGCAACCCCAGCCCATCTAGCATACGCACCCTCCTCCTTCCTTCCTGGATCCTTGGCCAAGGAATTGCCCCATAAACCACACGCACAGATCCAGTTACACATGGGTCTGGCCTGTGCATCTCTCCCATGTTCAGTGTGGGTGTGTCTTTTCCTCTCACCCCAGCAGATTGGAGTTCCCACCCTCTCAGTGCTGTAGGTTTCTCCACAGTACATTCCAAGAGGAAGTTAATTCACTTATATTATTGTCCCCCCAAAGGAAGAGCTGATCCAGCCACAATTCTCAGCCACCTCCACTTTATCTCCCTCTGCTCCCAAGCCAGCCCCGTCTCTTCCCAGCATCCCCAGGGATGTTGTGTTTTCTCTTCCTCGGTTCCTGCTCAGCTAATAATAACCCTTGCTCTCTTCCACCAGGAAGTTGCTCCAGAGTGGTTCCATTCTCAACTGGCAACCCTTTCCCCAAATGCTGTCTGCCCTTGGGGACAAAACTCACTCTTTCTCTGGACTTCCCTGCCTCCGATGGTCCCTCCTCCCACCCCAAAGCCTTAAGGGGAAGGGTGCTGTGCAGAGGCTGCCCCACTGTCATCTCCAACCCTGTCTTTGCAGATGGTGAACATGCATATGGAGAAGGTGGCCCGAAGGGAGATCGGCACCTTAGCCACTGTCCAGCGGCTGCCCCCCAGCCAGAAAATTATCGCCCCTGAGAGCCTGCCTCCCCTCACGCCCTACTACAGGAGACCCCTCAACTTCGGTTGCCTGGATGACATCGGTCACGGGGTCAAGGTAGAGAGAGGGGCTCCTCCTCTTTCTCCAGAGCCCACCCTCTTCTCTTTTTTTTTTTTGGCTGTGTCACGCAGCATGCGAGATTTTAGTTCCCTGACCAGGGATCGAACCTGTGCCCCTTGCAGTGGAAGTGCGGAGTCTTAACCACTGGACCACCAGGGAAGTCCCCCCACCCTCTTCTGCCTCATGGCTCTCTTCTCTCTAGACCCTCAGTTTTCTTCTACAACCATGTTCTTGTCCCAAGCTGCAGTCCCTTTCCGTCCTCACTCCCTAAAGCCACCACCCTAAGTGGCTACCTTACTCCACAAGGCCTCCTTAGAGGAGTCCCTTCACCCCCTTCCTCCTTAAAAATTCTTCATGACCCCTCTCTTCATAACTGACCTTTACTCTGCATCACACGATCTGCTGCGAGTGACATCTGGGCACTCCACCCCTCCTTGTGGGTGGCGGGTGTGTGTGAAAGGGAAGAGGGGGGAGGGAGAATGTCAGGGTGTGTATGAGAATGGCGGGCCAGCCACATGAGATCGGCAACTTCCTCTGTCTGGAGGTTTGAGGTCACTGCACTGAACAGTCACCCCAGAGCTGCTGTTGGGTGGGAAGGGGCTGGGACGCAGCCACTCACAGGAGGACACGGTGAATGACTCTGGCATTTTCTTGACAACCCATGTCCTTCTGAGAGGTGGGAGAGGACACACAGCCCCATCACATTTTGCTGATTACTTGTCCCCACACTCCAACATTCCAGACTAGATTGGACGTTCCCCTGCATCTAAATGGCCCCTTGCTATCCTTAACACGCCATCTCCCCCCAGAAAGAGAAAGCACACGCCCTCCTTCAGTCACCAGGCCTCCTCACCAGTAAGTTCTTCCTTCTGTCCAACTTCAATTCTTTATGCGTGGGCTCGAGTCCCTTTTTGTCTTGTCCCTTGTGAAGGATAGCAGAGGACATCAGCCCCCATGCACCCCCTCTAGGTAGGGGAAACCCTGTCACTAACAGAGGTGCTCTCTTGCATGTGGGTTTGCACCTTGTCACGGGTACACTAAATGTTCTGCTCCTCTCTGCCCCAAACTCCCCAAAGCCAGTTCCCCAGGCCTGCGAAAATGACAGGTGGGACATTTCTAAGTCAACCTCTACCTCCTCAGCCGCGCACTGGCGTTGGGGTTTCTCAGAGTCAGGGACCACCAAGCTGAGCGCTGAGACGCTTTTGCGAGCGGGTGGGGCTCAGCCGCTGAGGCTCTGCAGAGGAAGTGGCCTTCTGACCGTGCCTGTCTGAGCCTAGGCAGACTTGAGGCCTGGGATCCAGGCAGCGAGCAAGGGGGGGGGGGGGGGGGGGGGGAGGGGGGGGCTGGGAAGTGGAACCGGGAACTTGCTGTGTCCGCGCTCTCCCTCCCAGTTCTCGTCTGCCCCTCCCGCATTTCCTCTCTGGGATGAGGGGCCTATTGCAGGCCACCCCCCGGTGTCAGCCCCGCCCCCTGTTCCCCCGCAGGATCTGAGCACACGGCTGTCGCGGACCGGGACCCTGTCTCGAAAGAGCATCAAGGCGCCTGCCACACCCGGCTCCACCACCCTGGGGTGAGGCCTCCCCGCAATTCACACCTGCGCCGCTCCATCCAGAAACCCTACTCCTCCATAGCCCCCTTCAAGCCGGGCGCCAAACTTCCTCCTCCGCCAGTTGCCACCTCCTCCCCGCACCGACCGCCTGCTCGCCTGATGCCTTCCCCTTGACGACACCCCTTCTCTCTGCCCACCCCCAGGAGAGCGCCCCGGATCCCCGAGCCAGTGCAGCTCCCCATGGTGCCGGACGGCAAACTCTCCGCCGCCTCCTCTGCCTCCTCCCTGGCCTCGGCCGGGTGAGCCGCACAGGTCCAGGTTGGGGGTGGTCGTGAAGGGCGGGGGCTTAAGAGGACTCAGGGTCACGGGGGCGGAGCTTATGACGGAAGGGGGCGGGGCCAGTTGGTTGCTGAGTTAGGAAGGTGTCCCCCCACCCCGCCCCCAATCTAGCCGAGCGCCCGCTTTCTCTGGTCTTCAGCAGCGCCGAAGGTGTCGGTGGGGTCTCCACGACCCAGGAGCAGGCAGTACCCCCACCTCCACCCCCTCCACCTGCTGCCTCCGAAGGTTTCCTGCCGCCCCCTCCGCTGGGGGAACTGTACCTGCCCCCAACGGGTAAGGAGCTCTGCCCTCTCCTCCTAGCTCAACTTTGGGGTCGTTCTCACCTCCCAGTACTTCTCCCCACCCTCACCCTTGTTGGGTCCAACTGGGTCTATGTCAGTTACCACTTTGTCCAAGGCAGGAGTACCGGGAAGAAAGGCAGCGGAGGGAATGAACTAACATAATTTAGCCCCCGCTTTCTCATCCATTTTCTCCCTTTTACTTAACCTCCTAGGATCTTCACACTCCCATTTAATAGATGAAGCTGAGCCTGAGAGGTTAAACTAAGTGCATTGGCTCACTCAGTCAAGTGGCAGAGTCTGACAGCCCTACAACTGTTCAATGTTACCGTATTTACTGAGCACCTACTACCTGCTAGAGGCATTGTGGGAGGACCAGGATGAACGGGGGCTGAAAGCAGATTGCAAAAAATGGGTAGATCCTGGGGCCCTGCTCTCCAACACTGAAGTTTCTTGGCCTGGAGGCGGTTGCCTGTGTGACACTTGCAGCCTTTCTGCTTTCCCTCCCAGCCCCAGAGCTGCCCATGCCCCTGGACCTGCCCCCTCCTCCACCCTTGGATGTAGATGATTTGGGGCTACCACCTCCGCCACCACCAGGCTTTGGGCCTGAAGAACCCAGCTGGGTCCCTGATGCATACTTGGAGAAAGGTACTTGACACCTGGGATTGAAAGGCACCAGATCCTGGGGTCAGGATTCCCCGCTCTTCTAGCCCAGAGCCATTCTCCCCTCCAGCTGCAAAGGGGTGAGGCTGTTGTTCCCCACACCCCCATAGAGAAGAGAAGCAGCCGGCCTGATATTGAATATTATCTCAGCTGGGGAGGAGTCCCGGGGCTTTGGAGAAGGCGTCTCCTGCTCCACCCCCCTAGGGTCCAGTATGTGGGCTCCAGCATCCCTGTGGCGGGGCAGGAGGCACATCTCACGGCACCTTCTCCCGCCCTGCAGTGGTGACACTGTACCCGTACACCCGCCAGAAGGACAACGAACTCTCCTTCTCTGAGGGCACCGTTATCTGCATCACCCGCCGCTACTCCGATGGCTGGTGTGAGGGTGTCTGCTCAGAGGGGTCTGGATTCTTCCCCGGGAACTATGTGGAACCCAGCTGCTGACAGTCCGGGCTCTCTGGGATGCTGACCCAAGCACAGCCTTGAGTGAGCCTCTTTTTCTGAGTCCCACACCGAAGCCAGCTCCGCAGTCAAGACTGGACCAGGCCTGCACACCTCCTGGGCTGTGAGCTGTGTCTGTTCCTTCTCCAGAGGCCTGCTGGAGACAGGAAAGAACTGGAAACCAAGGAGTTTGGTGACCTTATCCACAGGGGACCCTTACGCCATGCATGACAGGGTCTCCAGCTGCAAGCGCCAACTTTGAATAAAACTCTGATGCCCTGATTGCCCTACAGGGCTGGGGAACCGAGGGACTGAAAGGCAGCCCACTTGTAAGGCTCCCGCTAATTGAGCGCCCCCGCCTGCCCTGAGCAGCGGTATCCCCCATCTCCTCGGTGCTCACTGAGCCCTCTGCACTTGACCCCTGTGCCCCTCTGCAGAGACGGGCTGCACCCTGCTCTTTTGCCTGTTGCTTGCTTTGTTATGTATTTAGTTTTGGTTCCCCAAGCTGGGCACTCCTCCCAAGAGTGGGGACCAGCTCCCTCACTTAAGTGGGGCTCTCTGAGAGCAGAGATCACCTCGCCCTCATCCCTCAGGCTGCGGCGCAAGAGATCTCAGCCACCTTCACCTCCTTTCTCTTTTTCTTTTTTTTTCTGTACGCGGCCCTCTCACTGTTGTGGCCTCTCCCATTGCGGAGCACAGGCTCCGCACGCGCAGGCTCAGCAGCCATGGCTCACGGGCCCAGCCGCTCCGCGGCATGGGGGATCTTCCCGGACCGGGGCACGAACCCACGTTCCCTGCATCGGCAGGCGGACTCTCAACCACTGCACCACGAGGGAAGCCCCTTCACCTCCTTTATAGCTCTGAAACACCAAAAGAGGGAGGAGGGCCTTGGGTTTCCGCTGGCTCTGCTTTAAAACATCACGGCTTTCTGTTCCATACGGGAGAAGGGGGACGCAGAGGGCCCAGTCGGCGGGGCAACTTTGGTTAAGTCCCTGGTTTCTTGCTGCATAGACGAGGCTGGGGTGCGAGGAGATATCTTCGGGGTCTGTGAGGTCCCTGGCTGGCCAGACCCGAGCCCCGGACAGTGTGCTACCTCATTCGACCACAAGGAGGTGTCTGTGCCCTCTGGCTTTTTTTCCTGTGGGGATGCTGACAGGGTTGGGGGGGGGAAGGGATGCCAGGAGTACAGTGTAGGGTCACAGTAGGTAAAACAAGATCTAGGCCTGGGACCTTCGGCAGAGAGCGCCACTCCTCTCCGCGGGGAGTCCGGTGCGGGGGAGGGGTGGTGGAGAGTGCAGGGCCTGGGTCCCCTTGACAGAAGACTGGGGGTGGGAGGTCATGCAGCCCAAGGTTTAACTAAGCCTTTAGTTAAAGGTTTAGTTGGTTTAACTAAACCAACGCAGCGGGAGATGTTCTACCCCGCCAGGGAACCCCTTCCTCCCAGCTGGGAGGACCAGGTTTTTGGAAACGCTGCTGCCTGCTCAGGTATGCGCACCACCCGGGTGCGGCAGACTCCGGAATTTGCTTGCAGTGGAACTGGGGGAGGCAGCAGAGCTGGGTTAACTGCATAGACGGGGACAGCTCCGAACTCCCTCTTTCAGTCCCCAAATGGACGAACCTAGGATTCCGGAAATTCCCGGAGGATCATAACAAAGCGAAAGGGAAAGGGGGTAATAAAGCTAGGTGTGTCTTTCCCGACCCCCACCCCCTCACCCCCTCCCCGCCCGGGTGCCCCCTGCAGGCCCCGTCCTCAGCACGTCTTCAGCACCTGTTGCAGATGGAGGCGCACTTCGGTGGCGGTTTCCCAGGGCACCACCCTGGCGCAGAAGGAGCTGGGCTCGGCCTTCTGCGCCTCCTGGATAAGGCGGTGCATGGGGTAGCCCCGGCGCGGGAAGGCCACGTCGCCTCCTGCCAGCACCCCCATGGGGCAGAAGTCGTTGGCGCCGTCGCCCACGTAGAACAGGCGCTCGAAGTGCACGCCGTCGTGGGCCCGCTCGCGCAGGTAGTCGCTGAGCACCTTGTGCTTGCACATGTTGGCGGGGCAGCGAGCGCAGCTGTGCGCGTGGAAGGGCCGCAGCGCCAGCAGCCCCCGAGCGTCGGGCCCCGACGGGTTGCTGAAGATGCGGCGGAACAGGCCGTGGTGGCCGGCGGCGCGCAGCGCACTCTCCACGCCAAAGGTGTTGGCGTCTGAGATAAGAATAACCTCAAAGCAGGCGCCCTGCTTGGCCACAAACTGCAGCAGCTCGCCCATGCCGGGCGACAGGGGGATGGCCTCGTAGATGGCGCGCAGGTCCCGGGGCCGCACGCCCTGCTCGCCCAGGTACTGGAAGACGCGCTGCATGTACTCGTTGTAGAAGCCCTCGCGGTAGGTGGCACGCAGGCTCTCAGGCAGCCGCTGGCCCGGCGCGGCGCGCACGATGGAGTCATCGCTGTTTTCATCCACGATAGTCTCGTCAAAGTCGAAGGTCAGGAGGAAGCGCGGTGCGCCCTGCGCAGCCATCCCGCCGTCCTGGGAGCAGGGGAGAGAGGAGGGAGCAAGCGAGAGGGGGCGCGGCGGGAGCCGGCCAGGGAGAGGCTGGTTAGCGGGCCTCCGCCAGAGGCGCTGGCACATCCAAGACCTGAGGAGGACCCAAGGCTGGTTAAGCAACGCCGTCCTCACCCCCAGCCTTCCCCGTCCACCCCCTTGCACCTCTCGGTTAACTGCGCTGGGGTTTATCCTCAGGGGACCATCCTCCTCGTGAACCCAGAAGGGCTTCTTTGGCACCTGCTTCTTCTACTCTCATCCGGGGCTATGGGGGCTTAACGAGGGTCAGCTTAAAAGAGTGGCAGAGTGGCTTCCAAGGGGGCGCTCCTTTGGGGAGGTTTCTGGACTATTCTGGAGACTTCCAGTGCCCCCAGCTGTCCATTGGATACAGGGAGGGTGGGGGGGACTCTCTACTCCCTCTTCCCTAACATAGTTAAGGAAAACCACCCGTTCACCCAAATGCAGCAGCCTCCTCGTTCCCCTTTTTGGCCATGCACAGCCGACGGCTTGTGGGGCTGGTGGACAGGAGGAGCCAGGGAAGACTTGCTAGCACCACCCAAAGCATGTGGGCGATCAGTGCCAGGCCTGGAGAGGTAGGGGCCTGGGCTTCTGCACTGGCCAGAGAATTGGATTTTAGCTCTTGGAAGAGCCAGGTAGGTGGATTGACTATCCCAAATCCAGGCAGGCTCTCTGTGAGCTGCCTCCAGCCAGTGGCACTGGGCAGGGGTCCGAAGATGGGACACAACTTCTCGGGGGAGTTTTAGGGCCCTGTGCTGACAGCTCATCACTAATCACTTGCCAATCCCCTGGGAGGAACTCGTCAGCAGGTGGGGTTTCTGCGAGAGTCCGAAGCAAGCGGGCAGCAGGAGAAGCAGTGGGGCTTGGGGAAGTCGGAGCCTCCCACACCAGGCCACGACATACCTGGGAGACAGGTAAGGGAGAGGAAAGAGAGCAGCAGTGGCTGAAAAGGCAGAGGAGGCAGCAGGTAGTGGGGACATGGGTGGCGGGGGGGATGAGGCAGGAGTGGGGAAGAAGAGGGCTAGAGGAGGAAGTCATGCCGGGGCCATGGGGGGGAAGGAACAGGAAGTCAAGACCCTGGGTTAACCATGTTGTGGGGGGCGGGTGGGAAACACAAGGGAGAGGATGGGAGGCAACAGGGCAAGTGTGAGGGCGCAAAGGCAAGCAAATGGAGAGCAGAAGCCCTCTGCAGCCTGGCCCTGCCTCTCTGCCTGCCAGCAGCTTTATGTGACAGAGGGGCAGCGAGCAGATTACGTACAGCTTCAGAATATCCACCATGCTGCCTTTCTGCCTCTCAACCCCCCACCCCAGTTAGTTGAGACAGAGCCACTCCTCTTTCTGGTTTCTTCCTAACTCCCTTTCCAATATTCCTGTGATGTTTATGGCCTGGTACATCCTGTAAACAGAAGGCCAAGCTCCTGATTTCCAAACTGGGATTTGAACCTGCTATCTGCCTCCCTAAGAGAATTGTCCCTTTGACTTCCATCCCTAGAGTCACTCTCTGGTCTCACCAACATCTATCTATGAGTTTCAGTGGCCCACGATCCCTGGAGTGGAGGATGTAAAGCATCAGGGCCCCACCCCTGGGATGGAAGCTTCCAGGGATTAGTGGAGGCGCAGTAGAGGTGAGGGCAGGCTTAAAAGGGGCTGGATAGGGCTCCTCCCTCCCCATGGTGGGAACATGGGAGCTGAGGCCTCATCCTAAGAGACCCCTGGAGGGACCCACTTACCCTAGATAGGCATCGGAGGCCAGCAACTGGAAAACACCCGCTCATGGTCAGTACATCACCCTGGGCACCACCTGTAGGGACTGTTGGCCTCCAGCTGTCGTCCAGAGCTCCTAACAACCACACAAGGTCCGTTTGAGGGTCCCAGTCAGGTGGCTTTGTTTCCTTGTCCTAACCCCTCTCCTGAGCCCCAGGAACCACCCAGTAAAAACAGCCCCTCAGATAGGCCAAGGACCACAAAGCCCTTGCTGGGCACCCTCTTAACAATCCCCTACGATGCTGGAAAGGTTACAGATGATATTATTGGAGACCTAGAAGGTTTAACCAACTTGTGCAGACATCACCCACTGTATGTGGCAGAGATCTCAAAACCAGATCTCAGAGTCTGAGACCAGTGCTTTTTTCTCTGTATGGTCATTGCCCCATTCTTGTGTACACGGCACATCATAGTTTACAAATCATCTTCGCTCACATTCTCTCCCTGCTCATCACAATCCCATGAATTCAGCAGATGAGAAGGGCTCAGAGATTAAATAACTTGCCCAAGGCTATGATGGTTCCATGGCACAGAGCCTGGTTCATGAAAACCTGGCCACAGCCTTGCCTGCCCTCTGCCCTCAAAGGGGAAGGGGCAGATGACCAGGCTCACTGCACCACAGCTGGAATGCCGGGACCCCTGGGCACCACAGGTGATCTGGGACTGTCTTCCTCCCTGGTGCTTCTAGAGGCTGGCAGTCAGCAGGAGTCGGGTTGAAATTTCTGCCGGACTTTGCTATGTAACTTTGGGGACAGGGTTTGGCTTCGTGGGGGGCTTCACCAGTGTAGCTACAAACCCACAACTTCAGTGCCTCCCCTCCATCCTGGGGTTAAATGAGAGACTAGATGCAGCTGGGACAGGTCTGGAAAGCTACTGTGAGCCAGGAGACTAGACGGGCTAAGGAGCAAAGGAGCAAAGGTCTGGCTGGCTGCTTCCCTCTGGTGGTGAGAGTGGGTGACACTGGGTACCCCTCTGACTTTGTCAAGTTGACTCTCCCCAGAGCATCCCAGGACAGCATGGAGAAGCTGTAGCCCTCAAGACAGAGACTGGGATATCCCAGGAGGGAGGGGCTCTCTCGCTGTCCATCTTGAGGTACCCCATCCCTCCCCACTCCCTGACCACACATGCGTTAAACCCTTTTGCTAGGGATGGGATGTGGGTTTCAGCCTTTTCCCTAAGAACTTGTAATCTAGGAATTGAAGAGACACAGTTCAAGAAGATGGGAGAGGGCTTCCCGGGTGGCGCAGTGGTTGAGAGTCCGCCTGCTTATGCAGGGGACACGGATTCGTGTCCCGGTCTGGGAAGATCCCACATGCCACAGAGCGGCTAGGCCCGTGAGCCATGGCCGCGGAGCCTGCGCGTCCGGAGCCTGTGCTCCGCAACAGGAGAGGCCACAACAGTGAGAGGCCCGTGTACCGCAAAAAAAAAAAAAGAAAGAAAAAGAAAATGGGAGAGAAGGGGAGGGAGGCATGTGAGGTGAAGGAAGGGCACGTTTAGGGGGTTAGAGGTGGGAGGGCTGTCCCCAGGCCCCATCTAGAGGGAGTTTCAGCCTTCCAGAATCCTGGCTGATATCACATGTTCCCCAGGGGCCAGGCAAATCCAAAGAGAAAAGGTCAAGGGATGCCACTCCCCTTGTAAAAGCAAACATGGACAGACATGCGCCGGGCAGATACAAAGCTAAAAAAGGGTCTCCAGGAGCCACCCAGAAGCCAACTTTCACTGCCCTTGGTGCTTTTTCTTTTCTTTTCTTTTTTAAATTTGGTGGAATAGTCTACTGGGTTTTAATCATGTTCAAAACTTCTCATAGCAAAAGAAATAGTTACATTTTTTTAATCTAATACTAGTATTTAGGGAAATCAGTTAAACATTTATTTGGTGAGTTGCCCTTGTTTTAGTCCCCACAGCAGAAAGCCAGGCATCCTGGGTTTCTCCCCTCGAAACTGAGAAGGCCATGCTGTGATACCCACCCCTACCCCAGAGTAGTCAGAGGGACCCCAGGCCCCGCTTGGATCTGCCTCCTGTGACATTCAAAAAGGTACTCACCTCTGCTAGCTTTGTCCTGAGTGATCAAAACCTTTTGTGGTCACCAAAAAGGGTCCCTCAGAGGAAAGGGGAACAGGACCTCTGAGCTTCTCCTGCAGGCTAGAGTAGAGAGAGAAGGGTTTCATCAGGCTGGCAGGGAGTCCACGTTCTAGTCCTACCTAAAAGCACTGCTTCTCTCCTTCCCCCTCCCCCCTCCCCACCCACCCCGTTCACCTTTTTACACAAGTGCTGCTACATTACATCTATGGGAATAGGGTGCGAGGACACCTGGGGATAAGGGAGGGAAACAAGAATAGGCCCTAAGTTTGAAAGGCCCCTCTTAATGGATGGATGGAGTTTTAGCAGCTTTAACGGTTTTCTACGAGAAACGTGCAAGATAAGGATGTGGTGGGGGCAAGGACCCCAGAGATACTATAGTAACGCATCCTCTTAGTATCAACCACTAGAAACCAGATTCCACCACTAGGCTGGAATTCTCTCCCTCCCGCAGACAGCACTCCCAACTTCGTCATGGTCTATTCCTTGCTCACCACCACCAGCAGTGAATAGGAAAGGCCCAGAGAGGTCAAGCTAACATCCTGGGTCACACAGCATCAGAATCAAGATTAGAACTCAGGGGTCTCTACTGCCTCTTGGGAAAACTGCAGCCAGAACTTTCCCTATTGCCCCCCTGGGTTGTGAGCTTGCAGTCCTGACTAGCTGGGTTGAAGTCCTGGAGCTCTCGTGCCAGTGAGGAAGCTGAGACCCTGAGTCACCTCTGGTCTCGCCCTGCCTGGGTGGACAAGCTCGGAGGGGATCCTCAATGGGCAAGGAGGTGGCAGCTGACGGTGGAGTGGGGGGAGAGATATTTTTAGAGGTGGCTGGAAAGCAGGCACTCTGGCACACCCCCAGCTGGCGGGTGCTTCGCTCCAGTGAGGGGCGGCGGGCGGGCAGCTCGGGAGTCGAGGGGACTCGTGGGTGGCAGGGAGCAAGGGAGCACGGATTCCTAAGCCTTGTCCGAGTCGGGGACGGACCTAAACCCGGACAGCCCGTTCTTGGGGTAGGAGAAGGGGGACTCATTCCTCCGACCCGGAGACTCCCCCAATGACACGAGCGTGAAAGAGCGCTCTCAGACTCAGCGCAGCCGCCACCCCACACTGGGACCCCAGCACTCCCCACCTCGGGAAACCCAGGACTTACGTGGGGAGCGGTGGCTGCAGACGTCTGTCCCGGCTGAGTTTGGAGTGTAAAGAGTGGGGAGAGGGGCTAGCTGAGGTATTTGGGCGCAGGATGGAGCAAGGGGTGCTTACGGGAATTGAAGGGGACGCGGTGTCTTATCCGCCCCCGGATTTCTTGGGCTCCGGCTCTCACGAGTCCCTCCACTCCCGAGGGGCCGTGGATGATGTGCATCTGGACCGCTCTCTCCACTTGCCCCCCATCCCCACCCCGGGCCGCCGCCGCGTCCCCTTTAAATACCCGGGAGCCTGAGCCGGAGCCCAAGCCGCTGTTGGCGCTGCGGCTGCCGCAGCACCCGGGCCCACCGCAGTCCCCGCACGTCACAAGCGGCTGTCCAATCACAGTGGCGCCGGAGAACATTAAGGGGGCGGGCCTCCGCAGGCCACGCCTCCCGGCTGCCCCGGAGGCTCCCGGAGCGCCAGCGAAGGTGGGATTGGGAGCTGCGGGGAAGGGTAGGAGAGTGGAGGTGGAACGCGTCCCTTCAGAGGGGCGTGGGTGGGGGGCACCCTCATTAGAGCGGCTGCGGGCCTCTACGTAAGTCCCGAGCACACACCTGGAGGTGCCCGGGCTGTGGACTTTCTCCACCGCCGCCTCCAGAGCTCTGATCCCGGAGATTTGCAGAAATGCACCCCCATCTCCAGCCCTTATTCCGTTCTGCTCTCCTAAGCTCAAGAGCAGGGATCGGTTGACCCCGCCGAGGAAAAGCAATTCCTCTTCCACGTGCGCATAGCTAGGTGCCCTCTGCCCTCCAGGCGGAGTCACTGCGCCCCGCTCCTTGGGACCCTTGCTCCCGTTACAGGTCACAGGGGGTTGCCGACTTTCCCACTCCCCTACCCTGTAAACACTAAGTTGGGGACCAAACTCTCTGCCCCTTTGCAAGTAGTGAGGTAAATAAAAAAACCACTTTCTCCTCGCTCGCTGAGTCCTTTCCTAGCCACACCCGCCCCACCCTTATGCCCTCCCACCCTGGTGGTGAGGAGGAGAGAAGATTATGTTTAGAGAGGAAAGAAACTTATTTACTGAGAACATACTATGAACCGGGTATCGTACTAGATCGCAGCACTTATGGTTGAATGTTGACAGCAGGAAAAACTGAGTTCAAACCCAGGCACACCTAACTCATGGGGGTCACAAAGGGGCTGTGTGGGTGGGGAGAAGGTGGGCAGCCCCAGGCCTGGGGCTAGTCTCCCTGGCTCCACTCTCTTCCGGGAGAAGAGAGGGCGCAAATGCAAAGGCCCTGAGTGATCTGGAGGCCAGTGGGACTGGAAACCAGAGAGGGAGCGAGGGTCAGCCGGGGAGTACCCTAATCTCTGTGCCAGGGGCTAGGGGTACATTGATGAATAGGACAAACGTGTGCCATGTTTCCATATATACAAAGGGGAAGCAAGGCTTTAAATCTGCAAACCTGACCCTTAAAACCCTTGCCAGTAACTCCCAGTGCCCCAGCTCCTTCAACTGGTTTGCTGCTCCACTTCATCTCACAGCCCAGTCTTCACGCCTCACCCTTTCCTCCTGCTCCCCTGCAGGGGGCCCTTTCCTTCTCAGGACCACACCCACCCCATTTGCTGAGCAAGTTCAGCCTGGACATCATCTCTTGCCCTGTTACACATCCTGCACTTCCTTTTATTATACTGATCACGTGTGTGCTAACAGAGCGCCTAGTAGGTGCTGTAAATGTAGGGGGTCCCTGGAGAAAGCGATCAGCCGTGGCTTTCTTGACGTGAGAGAGGCCGTTTTTGACCTAAGCCATGTTGTGATCTGATCCAGGCCACGGGCTTATTGTTAACAGGTCTCAGTAATTCATGAGTTTAAGGAAAGTGAGGGAATGCAGGAAAAAAGGAAAAGCCGTCAAGAACCAATAGCTCAGCTATAAAACAGAGTCCTGGATCCTCCTCAAGGGATCTGCATGACAATCTGATACATATCTTTGAGTTCTGTAGGAACTAAGGCCCCTGCCCAGGTGGAGGATGGAATGAAGATGTTGACCCTCCTGACTTCGATCAAGTAAAGCTTGAACTTTGTTGACCTTTGCCCCAGTTCTATGCTGAATCTCCTTTGGGAAAGATGCCTGGTGTTCTCCTTATTGACTTTTTGTTTTGTTTTGTTTTATTTTTGCCGTACCGCCTGGCTTGCAGGATCTTAGTCCCCTGACCAGGGGTTGAACGCGGGCCACAGCAGTGAAAGTGTGCTTTAAATAATAAATTCTTCCTTCTCCTGCTCTTTGGTTTGGTTGTGTCTTTTGGCACCCACCGAGGGGCGAACCTAGTTTTTCGGTAACATAAATATTTTTCCATATGTCAGTTCATGAAATCCTCACCACCCTATGAAGTGGGTGCATGGCTCGTTTTACTGTTGGGAAATCAAGGCACAAAGAGTTGAGCTAGACTAGGGTCACTCAGCTGGTGAATGGTAGAGCTGGGCTTCCAACCTGGCTACCTTAATCATCACGCCACACCCTCTCATTCAGTGTCTGCCTCGCTGCTTCTCCAGTAGGCAACGTGAGGGCAGAGACCATGCCTGTCTTATTTATTAGTGTCCCCCTAGTCCCTAGCATATAGACCCTGGCACATAGTAGGCCTTAGATATTTGTTGTTGGATGAAACAAGTCCCCTGCTGTGTTCACCTCAACATTAGTCTCCTCAACGTTAGTGCTCCACTTGTGTTCCCTGTTAAATCTTCACACCAACAGTCACTTCGGATTTATTCCCATTTTACAACAGGGAAATTGAGATCAAATGACTTGTCCAGGGTCACATGCTCTCAGGAGGCACTAGATTCTAATCCCTTTGATGCAATTAGCCCTTTTAACCTTGTTTCCAAATTCACCCCTGGGGCTGAAGGAGGGGTGGGCAGAGAGCTTCCTGTAGCCGCCTGTAGTGAGTTCCTACTGCCTGATTTCGCCTTCCAGCCACAGGAATACCAAAGTTCAACAGGGACTTCGTGCAAAGCACCTTTATGGACGCGCAGGCTCAGTGGCCGTGGCTCACGGGCCCAGCCGCTCCGCGGCATGTGGGATCTTCCCGGACCGGGGCACGAACCCGTGTCCCCTGCATCGGCAGGCGGACTCACAACCACTGCGCCACCAGGGAAGCCCTGTATTTCTCTTTAAACTTTCTGCTCTCATTGTGCCAATGAGTAAGCAAGTTGGATGCTCAGCCATGTGTCTAGAGATGGGGACAGAAGGAATGGGAATTCTCACCTGCTACCACACCCCATCCCCACCCCCAGCAGGCTGAGGCCTCTGCCCAGCTCTCTGGCTGCAGAACTTCCTCCCCTCCCATGGGGTTCACCTTAGAACTCAGCTCAGTCCATCTGGCAGAGAGCTTGTGGAGATGGGAGCCATCTGAGGTGACAGGGACAGGAGTCCCTGGTGAGCCCTGACTCAGGTGGCCAGGCATGGAGCTCTCCAGCTGGTCTTCACAAAGAGGATGTAACTCTTGCCTGAGGTTTTGGTTGTAAGGCCTGGGAGGCCGGGAGGCCAGGAATGTGGCCTTTGACTCTCCAATCTGCCTGGTGGTGAGAGGGGCGCTGGCCAGAGGGAGGAGCAGATCGCCGCCGGGACGATTGCATTCAGGCACTGGGCACCAACGGGGTGCCAAGAACGTAATCCCCACATCAACCCTGGCAGATGGGTTTTAGTATTTCCATTTTACAAATAAGAAAGCAGAAGCTTGGGGACATTAAGAAAGCACCTTGCCCAAAGACGCTGTGTAGCAAGTGGTGGTCAGTCCCGATGTTCAGGTCAGCACTTCTCTGTCTGCAGAAGGTAGAGGTTCCCTTGGGGATCTGGTAACGGATGCAGGTGGGCTTAGTGGAAGAGGCCACTGGGAGTGACCCCGCTCAGGCAGTTCTGCAAGATCTGTTTTAGGTGCTCTGGGTCTAAGGCATTGTGCTGGGGCTTAGGGACCAGGGCTGGATAAATCCCTTTCCAGGTTTTTCGGGTAACATTTCCCTCCCTGCCTTCTCCAGCCCCGGCCCCTTCTCCATACAACGGGCTCACCCGGACTGAGCTGTCTGCTGTCCTCTCATTTGGCTTCTAAGCACCCTCCTTCTGTGAAACAACTTTCAGAGGCTTGAAATCCGCCACTCTAGTCTCTTCATTTTTGCAAATGTCACATTAGAGAGAACAGGGTGATTTAGTTTCTGCCTGCCTCGTGTCCATGGTTACTTCTTGCATCCCTCTCCTCCTCGTATTGTGTGCTCTAAACATACCAGCCTTATTTCAGACTTTCACGTGTGCTACCACAGGCCCTTTGCACATGCTGTAGCCTCTTCCCACACCATCCATGGCCTCTCACTGAGTTCAGGGCTCAGCTCTGTAAGTCACTTCTAAAAGGAAATTTGTTATGCCCGCAACCCCTCCTCCCACCTTGATGTCGGGACCTCCCATTCCACATCTCCACAGCACCCTGTACTTGTCCTGGGTGATGGATTAATGTCTGCCTCCCATCAGACTGTCACCTTCACGAGGATAGGGCCATAGTGCGTTTGCTCCCAGGATATCCGCAGCAGCTGCACAGGCCTTGATCTAGAGCAGCCAGCCGCACCATAAATACTTGTTGCCTGAAGGATTGCAGGAGTCTACCTCATCTACTGGTATAGGGTGTGGCCTTAGGCCTGGAATGAGACCAAAGCAAGCTGTCTCAGCCTCAGTTGTGTTGCAACCTGGCCGTCTGACTGTGGATCTGCTAACAATAGATGGTGCTGGCAGCTCAGCATGTCTTTACACCTTCCTCTGAGCAAGCTGACCCACCCAGGAATCTCCTATCCCAAGGCAGGCCTGTGCTGCTGGGAGCTGGAGGCCTTGAGGGCAGGTTGATAGGAACCATATTTTGGGTTCCTTTTGCCTAGGTCCAGGTGCACCAACAATAAGAGTCCCTCATGTTTTCAGTAGACTTTGGAGCTTACAAAACACTCTGGGGACTTCCCTGGTGCTCACGTTTCCGCGGAAGGGGGCACGGGTTCGATCCCTGCTTGGGGAACTAAGATCCCGCAAGCCGCGCTGCATGGCCAAAAAAAAAAAAAAACTTAAAACCAAAAAAACACTCTCTGTAATTCACATTATTTTCCTGATGAGGAAAATGAGGCTGAGAGAGGTTAGGTGACAAGTCCAAGGTCATACAGTCAGTAGAGTGGATAAGGCAAAACTTGAACCCAGGTCTTATGAAACCAGCTAGTTTTCCAGAGGTGATTATACCAGGGGAGGTGACGTGCTGCTAACCAGCAAAGAGTCCAAGAT